TGAAAAATTGTGTCTTTGGAGTGTATATACATTGAGAGAGAAAGACCGAAGGAAAGAAACAAAAAGAAAAATAAAATCCGAAATTTTATTGCGTCAATGCACACCTTGATATGGTAAGAGAGAGAAATATCGCGATTCTTTGTAATGATCTTCTCAATTATAATATTTTTGATAACATTTTAATAATTCTTGTTGATATGATTTTCAAAAAAATGATTTTTCAATAGTCTTGTTAATTTTAGATTGTTTTATAATTGGGATTATAATTACAAAAAGAGAAGAATACATGACTCTTTGAATATTACAATATTTTGTATATTGCAGGTGGTTTCAAATACATAATAATTTATTGTTATACAAATTTAAGTGTAATATTGAAATGTTAATTCTTCATAAATGTTCTTTAAAGGGGTACCATAAAATGCTATTACATCAGAGATCTCCAAAATTTTTAAAATGGGAAAGAACTCCAATATAGGTTTTCTGCCTGAAAAAAGATGAGGCGGTGAAAGTACTACCTTTGAATTCATAATATTTAATTTATTATTGTTAATTAATAATTGAAAATTTGTCAAAATAATATTGCCCAATTTTGAATTACTCTATACAGCTTTCATCTTATAACAAGTTAATCATGAAATTGAGATTTAGTCACATAATTTGAAAATTTTCTAAGATAGTAAACGCATTACTGAACATTTAAAGCAAAAATCTCGGTCGGAAATTTCTTTGATATGAGCAAATTTACTAAAGAAAAATTTTGAGGAAAAACTACAGTAGAACTAGACTATTAAGAAAGGATGCTGTAAGAAATTCCTGTTTCTTGCAATTCTTCTTATGCAAATTTATTTCACATCACTTCGTTTATAAATATAACGGTTTCAGTTAATATATTTTTTATAGAAACTGTATAAAACTATGAAATTGTCAACTTTTTTGGAATTATTTATTAAAGGCGTTATTGTAATTTTAAAACCTTTAGGGCACATGTAGTAAAGGAATCGATGAAATAAAAATTTTGCCCCTAACATTCTAAAATTTAATACATTCTTCTTAATGAAAGCCGCAGCATTGTAACCATTAATAAATTTTTGATGAATTTTCCCATTTCTAACCGGTGTTTTTACTTTTCCATCTGCACCTCTGCTTTTATTTGTTAGTCGCATAGTTTATTTGTAGATTGTTAAATTTTCATTTTCTTATTCAAATTGATTAATGTAAACATTTTATTCACTCTGAAATTATGGAAAAAAAAAATTTTTTTTTAGTGTTTTGTTGCTGTTATTTTGGAAAATTAAAATTTTCATGTTTTTTTTTCATTTGGTTTTGATTGTTTGAGTTTTTGCTTTTTTTTCTTGTATTTTAGTTGTTAAATTGTCTTCACTGATGAAATTATTGGCAAAAATCACCGTCACTTTTATGATGATTTATGATGTCCCTGTCCGTCATTTTTCTAGACATTTAAATACATATAGAAATAATTAATGTAATATACATACAAACAGGTATAATTTTAACATATAAGACACACTTATAAACATGAAAATGTATAAATCATTCTATTGGGAAATACATTAAGTGTGTATGTTTGTGTATTATAATGTATTTTATGTGGTATAAAATGTATAGTTTTCCGAAAATAAAATAAACCATTGCCCTTTTTATTATCGTTTAAGTAAACAAAAATATTTATAAATATATTTTTAAATTTTAAATATTATTAGAGAACAAAATTCAAATTTAATTACGTAAGAAACGAATGTGTTTTTAAAATCAAAAATGGTTCTCTTACTCAATTTAACTTAGTTCTAGCCAAAATTAATTTAATTTTTTCAAAATCAAATTTAAGCTTTTTCGATGTGAGGAAATCGGATAATTCTTTAAAGATTTGAATCGCCAATTTTACCAAATTCGTTTTAATTAATATAAAAGGACTGACCAGCTAGACCATCTTTGTTTGGTAATTTTTAAAATAAAACCAAAATTTTTATTTGGTTCCATCTTAATAGCTCGTAGAATTGTCAGAAACTAAATTAATCATGAATATGAATTTGAGTAACGTAATATAATGAATAATGAGTAAATGGCCAAGCCAGTGGTTTGTAATGTAGCACTTTTCCGTTGAACAAGTGAAAAATCTGCTTTTAAAAGCAATCTAGTCATGTACTACATTATTAAAATTATTTTAATTCATATACGAATATATTTCAAAAATTTGCTTATGTTGAGGATGAGCAATATATTCAATCAGAAAGAGCCGTTAACATAATGCTCGTATTTAAATGTTAATCGCGTGAGTTAAGAAAAATAATTATATATTTTATTGCAACAGCATTTACCATTATTTTTCTGCATTTATTGAAATTTGGAAAAACTTACAGTTTCGGAATTATAAGATGCCAAAAATTCGAATTTTACAAATTTTGAGAGGCGATAACTTGAGAGTAAGTTGAGGTAGAAAAAAAATACTGCCTAATCGAAATTAATTATTTATTAGTGTCTAAAAGGTTTGACGGGCGGACAGGATGAATAAGGGCTTTTCTTCAAATATTTTCTTTTGGAAAATTCCTAAAAAGTATTCTGTTTTCTAGAAGGGAATGGATATTTAAATTATATTTAGAATGAGTGCTTAAATTATTTAAACCTAACCAAAACCTAATAAATAAAAAAAAAATTGGAAAAGGTATAAAATTTTCTTTCTTCCGTGGAACTAATTTTCAACGTCAATGGAATTTTCCAATACAAAAGTTAAGTTGTTTGTGAAAATTGATTTTTTAAATAAAAATGTCGTATTGTAGAACTTACCACGTTTTTTTACAGATAAGCACATGTTGTATAGCCATTTTGTGGCACATTTTACGAAGATCATTAAAAAATAGTTTGTTTTTTGTTCTGAACTACACAATAATATTTTCCACATAATTGATATTTTTAATTTTTCCTCGACAATCCTTATGAAACCAATTATATTTAAAACAAATGATTTCATTTTTAAATCTTTTAAAATTTAATTACAATAATATTTTTACAAATTTGTTGTAATTTGTGTTTAAGATTTAAACGTTTATAATATTAAAAATATTTAAATTACAATATGCATAATATAAATTACCCACAAAATGGGTCTATATGGATGATACAGCATAGCTTAATGACACAATAAAGATTTATGGGTCATTAACTATATTTCTATTTATATTAAACACAGAACATTATACAACTCATATACATATATCAATATTATATAGAAACGAATACAAAATGTATCTGTATGTATGTATATGTATTTAAGGTATATTTACGTGCGTCATTTATTATTTAACCATATACGATGTTCATAATAGTACAATGTATTATACAATAAAAGGAAAACTAAGGAAAGAAGGAAAAACTTTTGGTTCAATGAAAAACCATAATATTAAATTGTAATTTAAAGTAATAAAACCTCAACAAAAAAATTAAACCACTAAAAATGATAATAAAATTAATTTTATGTGAATTGAAATATTTCTTTTTTTTTCATATAAAATAAAAATATTTTGTCATATAGTAGACAATATTTAGAATGGCATCGTAACCAGCACGGCAAGAAAATCAAAGCAAAATACAAGCAAAAAAAAAGAAAAATTTTATGATTTTTCTCGTTTTTCTTAAATTTTGAAAAGCAAAACAAGAAAAAAAAAATTTTTTTTTTATGCGATAAACGAGCTCCAGGAGTGAGCTATTTATTTTGCATGATGAGGTCAAATTTGTAAAAAATTTTAAAATTAAATTTGTATACAAAATTTATAGTAAAAAAAAAATTGTACGTCATCAATTTATTTTCTATTTCATTCTACATATACTTTACTATAGATTTTATATACAAATTTTATACGATCTTAAATAATATTACGCGACAACACAATTATTTACCTTATATAATATTGTCTTAATTACACGACCGATTTTATAGACCGAAGAAGCTAATTTATATTTACTTCGAAATAATTAAGTGTTTTTCTCCTCAATTCCATAAATTATGTAAGCACTACTAAACAATTATTATAATTTTTTTTTTTTATATAATTTTTACATTGTTGAAATTTGGAAAAATCAATTCTAGTGTTCTTATTGAAATGGTTTGATGATTTTCCTTCCAAGCGAAAGTGAAATTTGATAAATTTCGGTTGTATTCTGAAGCAATTCTAATTTGTATTTTCGGTTGTATTCTGATATCTTATAAAATTAAAGGATTTAAATTTAAAATTGTGTTGTTGAAAATTATGAAAAACCAAAAATTAACTTTTTATCCGAAATTTGAGTATACTACATAGAATGTACAAGGAATAAGAAACTATACACAAAAGCTGTTCACTTTCTCATAACAGTCGTTTGCATGTTTTAATTCATATGACTGTATTCATATATTGCCCCTGTTTCAAATACTGGTTGCAAAAAACAATTTTCCCCTGCAAACACTTAATAAACATCTACATTCGGAGTCCTGAAATTAATGAAATATTTGCGGCGAAACGTACAATTCCCAAGTCTGCTTTGGCAAAGTCTAATAATAATGTTTTACAAAAATCTCCAAAATGATTGTAATATTTCTTTTTTTTTTTTGTATTTTTGGCAACAATAATTAATTTTAATTCATTTTAATAACAAAATACTCGTAATAAAACAAATTTAATAACTAAAAATATGTAAGAAACACAAATGAAAAACAATCACTAAAAAATTTAAGGAATAAAAATTTTAAAAGAAATTTTTCAAAATATACTTAAGTTTTATGAATTTATTACATTATAAATTATAATATTATTATACTCTTAGAAAATTATTTTAAAATAATCATAATTATTTTTGGAATCGTGTTCAGAATTTCTAATATATTTGCCTTTTAATATTCGCTATACGATTTATTGCAATTTAATTTTTTTCTTTTAAATTTTAATTTTTATATAAAATAAAACATAAAAATTTCAAATATTTTTAATTTTTTTTTATATTTTTAGAACAAGGACCTGGAAAATCAGAATCAAATGTCCCACAAAGACCAAATCATTTAGATTTAATGTCAGGAACTGATAGTAGTCCGAGAAAATCATCACCATGTGTAAGTTGATTTTTTATTATTAAAATGATGAAATTTAATATTGTATATGTATGCGTTGCCTATATGTATAAATATTATATGTAGATAAGAAATTGTATTAGATTCCAATATTTCCCGTTCATTGCTACCATATGAAAAAATTACAAATTTGTGGTATCCAATCAATTATACAATTTTTATTTCAAATAATATTATACTTTGAATATTGAATATCATGACTTTGGGCCTCTTCTGATTTTATTAAAAAAATTGCTTGAATCTATCAATAAAATATTGTAGAATTTATAAAATCTGTTATTTAGATTTTATTAATTTCAACAAAATATAGAGTTATCTACAATAATTCCAAATTATTCTGATTAATTCATCACCTTAGTTTTTCCAAGCGATTACGAGAAAAATTAAAAATTCAAATGGAACAATTTTTGTGGAAATTCTGATTATGACCAATTTCACGAATTCAATTGTATTCCGAATGAATTGCAGATTTCTTAATATTCTGAAAAATTTATTAACTTTTAAACAATTTAACATTAAAATTTTTATTGTTATTCGTAATTCCGCTTATAAAGCGAATAATCTTTTTTCTTTTAGAAACAAAATCATTGTTTACAATTGTACGTTTTTGAACTTATTTTAAAATATTGTGTAATGAATTTGCATAAGTGTAAAATCTCCAATAAAACAAAAACAAGGAATATTTTATTTAAAATTTATTTGCTGAATATTTTGTTGCATTACAAGCTCATAAATATGAATATAGTTCTCATTTCTTGTTTATTGATTTTAAAACATTTAAAATTAATATCATAATAAACAAATTTTGATATTAAGTATTCGTTCCGTGGAAAACAAAACCCATGAAAAGCAAACCCATTTCGATGATTTAAATTAAATTTCATGTCTTAATCGTATTTCATGTTTATCGTAAATTGGTAATGATTCAATTTAAGGGGTTCATAATAATTGAACTTCATAATAAATTATATGAAAATATTTTTTAACTTTATTTTAATTTATGACTGTATAATAAAATGCGGATTTCATTTCACTTGGAATGTTTTATGAATGAATAAATTTTTATGTTAAAGTTTTGAATACTGAAAAGTAAAATTATAAGGTGAAAGAATGAATTAATCATTAATTTATTGGATTTTGAATTATTTCTCAATACATCAAAATTTTAAAATATCTACCATGTTGTTATACCCTGTTACTTATTATAATTGCCTGCATAATTTCAAATGACACAAATGCTTTAAAATAAATTTTTTTTAATTAAAATTAAAAACAATTTGTTAAGCAAAAAAACATTTTTTTTTTCGTTCTTGTATCCTAGAGTTAGCTTTACTCTGACTATACAGATTTACGGAAAACCACACAAAGAAAGCAGACTCAATTAAAGATATAAATTTTAATTAAAGTGCAATGACTTTTCATTTACATGAATAATTCACTTAATTTCTCTGATTTTATTAAAAATTTTATTGAGTACTCAAATAAATTACGTAAAAACAAAAACAAATACGAAAATGCCTTTTAAAAACTTCTTTTCAATTTTGAGGACGCTAGTAAGCTTTTAGTTAACGTACCTAGAAAAATGTTAATTTGGCCCTTAGTAGATTTTCGCTTTATGCAATCCAAATTTCCTGAACAGTTCATCAGTTAGTTTCGGTAACAACCAGAATCAAATATTATTTTTCAAATAACTTCATAAATATTTCTTCCGCAGGTATGGTAAAAAGTATAAAATCGGCTCTCACTTCGGTTTCAGAGCCCTGATCTTTCTCGATCTTATAGGTTCATTGTTTTAATATCTTGAATATAAATTTTAAATTTCAAGATTGTAATTGTAAAATCGACCTGCAAAAAAGTCCGACTCACGAGCTCTGATTTTTCTCAAAAGCTGGTCTGACATAGCCAAGATAAACTCACATATCAAATTTCATCAAAATTGTTTCAGCCGAAATTGAAATACACGCGTAAACAGACAGTCAGACAAATTGACTCACAGACAGACAGACACACACACAGAGACAGATACCTCTCTAATAATAGTTTATTTATGCTTCCCTATTATGAGGTGCATTCCCACCGAAAACTCGACATCCGAAATTCGGTGCCATTACATAATCTCCCTTATTGTATGTAATGTGGTCGGTAAAAAGGTCATGTTCTCAGAATAGTAAGCAAAAAAATACAACTTTGCCCAAAAATGAGGTCTGGGATTTTCGCAAGAAATTCTTAAAAAATAAAATTACAATAATGAGGATGTGAAAATATTGGATTAATTGAATTTAAATTTAAATTTAATATGCATGTATTTATGTACGAATCGGGGAGATCGCGTAATATTTGTATACTTATGTATTGTATATAAATTTATACTTATGTATGCAAAGTAATTATTTTGCAATTGAATCATATTAAGAATTCATTTTTTGCGAAATTATTGCAATACATTCATTTTTAATAAATTTTACCGTATTAAACTCTAGGAAAAATAAATTTAAAGAGCAATTAACATTAAAAAATTTTCAAATGAAATTAACAAAAAATTTTCGGTTAAGAATCGATACGAACTTATTGAATGGAAAATATTAGACTATTAGAGGGTACAATTTTCATTACTCCATAACATTGACAAGAAATAAAGTATAAAAAAAATATTATTTTATATTTGGATTTAAACAACACTTTTACATAGAATGCAAAAACATTGGGTTCCTTATATTTTAAATCCTTTCAAAGTTCATGTGTATGTTGTTATTGAATTAAAGAAATATTGAATATATCAGGTTCAGTATTATGTGCTTCAGCTAAATTCAAAATTTTAAATAAGAAAAGTCGACTTAAAATAATAACCTATTATATATTTGCATTCATGTCGAATTCCCATATCGTTAAAGGTTCAGAAATTTATTTCCGTATACACCCACATTCGAGTTTTTTTCCATAACTAGATCTAATATAATTTTCGATATTTAACAAATTTTTATACCCATACCAACTTTATGTTCATAAGGTATTATAAATTTAATATGCTGTTGCTAACGCTATTCAGTAGTGGTCTGAGATATAGACATTTTGTGAGTATATTTTCCGTCAGCGTTGAATTCAGAGTTGATTAAGCCATATTACTACACGGTGGATGACTCGTTATTTTAAAAAATTAAGAAACTCTACATTCATAAAATGTTTTCAAAAGCAATTCACCAGTTGTTTATAATTATGTTTTCTTCATAATATATGAATGCTAATCAAAGCTATCGCTCAGATTAAAAAAATAGGCTAAAATTTTGTAATAAAATCATGACTTTCATCAATGGGTAATTGCATGAGGGTAAAGACAAAATAACTTTAAAAGTAATTTTTTTTCTACCTAAGAAATTAATCGGATTACGATACTGAAATTGTGCACAAACTAGGTATTTGTTACACCCTCACTCTTGAAAATCTCAATTTTATGAGCATTTACGATATGATCATATTTTAAAAAATTAAAAGAGTATCACAGAGTTGACACGGTCAACTCTGTGCCTGCTACAATTGTCTATGAAGCAAAGAAAAAAATATAAACAAATAGTCAATCATAAAACAATTTTCAATAAAATGTCAAGAATTTCTTTTTTAATATAAACTAATGTTAAATAAGAATATCTAAATTTTTATTCAAATTCGTGATTCATAATTACTCTCGAATTTTCTTTATTGTGTATAGAATGCGATACAAAATAGATAAATAGAGTGTTCGAGAAAAGTTTTTACAATATTTTTGAATTATAAAATTCTATTTGAATATTTGTTATTGTGCATTATTGTGATTTGCTATTGAAACAAGCAATCGCACATCTACAGTTAAATGAAAATGATTCTTTCATTCTAAATACTTTAATTGTAATACTCCGTTTTAAATATAGTAATTAGAGTAATTTTTAATTAGAAATAAGAATAAGATACACGAATTTGAAATACTCGAACTGAAAAATTTTATTAATTTTCAAAAATTATTGTATAATTTAGATTTTAGTCTTCGAAATGTATTATTTAAACACAGTTGATAAATCAGGAGTTGGGATTTGCATATAATTTTGAAAATTTAAGATATTAGATACCGAACTTCTCTATATAGATTCCGAATGACTACTATAAGACTTTCATAAAATTTTAAGCAAAAAAAACAGAACCATAAGAATAAGCTGATTTTAAAAGGATGACGTTTGAGCTTTTTTTCAATTTGCTAACTATTCACCAGCTATAATCATTTTTAATACAAAAGCAAATTCTTAAAAGTTGTATGCCTCAAAATCACAAAATTTTTTAATAAATTAAACATAAAAGACCAAAATACTATACAAAATAAAAAATCTCTTATTTTATTTAAAAATTTAAAATGAATTTTTCTTATAATAATTTTTCACTCTTGTTATATATTTTTAGAATGATACTGATAAATCGCCGCCATCACCGCTGCCAACATCACAAGAAATACAGAAATTAAAAGAACAATTAGAACAGCAAACAATGCAAACAAGACAAGCTTTAGCTCAATTAATGTTAGTCAGAGAACAATTAGTGTCAGAAACTAATGCCAGAATTGAAGCACAGGTATATTAAATAAAACGCTTTAAATTTAGTTTACATATTTTTTGGTAACTTTTTCTATAAAAAATAAGTAACGAACAAGAGTAACAAAGAACGTTTTTTTCATTTTCCTCTTTCATCTTGAATTTTCTATACCATTTTCCTTATATACCACTTAATTATCTTAAATTACATTAAAATCTTCTGTTTATTTTAGGCACGTACACAACAACTTTTACAACAGAATCGTGAACTTCTTGAACATTTAGCTTCAATGGGTGGTTATTCAGAACAGAATCCACCTGGTTTAACGTCCGCTAATATAGCTTTAGCACCACAGGTTAGTCTTAAAGAGAGTAAAAATACGAAAAAAAAATTTTTTTTCTTCTATCTTAAAGTTTTTTCTTGTTCTTTTGATGTTTTATTGTTTTTATTTTTTTCTCTATATACTCGTACAATTATATTTTCGCGTTTTCCCCATATTGTTGTTGCTGTTTTGATTTTTGTTATTTTTTGGTTATGCTGTTCCTTGCTGCATGATTTGTTTTATTGTTCTAAGAAAAAGTTGTTTGTTTTTTATAACATAAATTAGCTTTTAAATTATTTGATTTTTTATTTTAAAATTTAATTAAATAACTTTTAATTATTTTATAAATGCTTTTTTAAAGAATTTTTATTCGTTTTAAAAATTAGAGTTAGACGTTCGGTATTTCATTTTTAAAGTTCAAAACAATTTAATTAAAGAATTATACTGAATGATGTCTAATAAACTAAAATGAATAATAATGGTAAGCTACCGAAATAAATGGAGTTTGTGTGTTAATTTGACATTAGGATGTTCGTGACCGAATTTAATTAAAAGCTCCACTTGGGTTTATTAAAGTGAAAATTATTCGATATGGAAAGTCTTAGCGGTTAAATTTCATTCCAAGTTATATCGTTTAATTTTCCAAAATATTCCAAAATTCATTGTTGAATTTTTCTTTTCTGATTAATATTAAAGAAAAGGAGAATAGATATTCTTGACCGTGTCAAGTCTGTGATACCCGTACGAATGAATGGTTTAAATGTCAAAGATAATTGACATACAGTTTTTACAACCTCCTACTTTTTACATCTAGTACAATTTTCGACATATATGGTAGTTACCAAATAAACCCAGACAATCTAAAAGAGTTTTACCGAAAATGATGGCCACACACCATTAAATTTGTTTGTTCAAAATTTCAGCTTTGTAGCTTTAATAGCTTCTGGGCTATGAACAAACAGCTTATAATGTCTTATGACAGCTAACACAAACAGTCAAGAAATATCAATAAATTTTATGAAACATAACAGCCTTAATAATATATTCGCTTGTACGAAATTTCATTACTATAGCTCCTATAATTTCTGAGATATAGCCAGGTAAATTTTGAAGTTGTATAGCAGCTACCCGAACCAGTACTACTACCTGTACCTCGAACATATTCATTTTAAATTGAGTTATGGAACTCAGTTACTATTTTAAAACATTTGTGAAAATTCAATAATCTTAGTTAAATTAGTTTTTGAGTTATCGTTGGAACGGACGGACAGACAGGCATTATTAAATCGACTTAGAATTCAACGCTGATCAATTAATTAAAGTAAAATCGTAATAGTTAATTTTTGCGTTTGAAAACCGAATAATCTAGGAATATATAAAATATTGCTTGCAGCGGTGTATGTCATCTGCAACAGTATATAAATTGTAATGCTCTAACAACCAACAATTTAAATGGAATTGCCTCAATAAATAATTTTTTGTCAAATTAGAAAACGCAAAGTTCCATTGCAATTTTTAAGCAATCAAAATAAAAAAGGTTTGCTGTTCCTTAGCGTCCCGCTTTAGATGCATGAAAATTACTAGAATTTAATAAAAAAGTTTAAAATTGTTTTTGTTTTAGTTTTCATTTCTAAAATAAAAAAATATGCAAATATTTTATTTATTAAAAAAGAAATAAAAAGAGAAAGTTTTATCCTTACAAGAAGTCCTTAAAAAATTTCAGTTTTTATCGCATGATATAAGTGTTAACAAAATAAAAAAAAAAAATATTTTTGATTTTTTGCTTTTAATTTTTAAGGTAAGTGTTTTTTTTTTAATTTTTCTATTTGTTGTAAATTTAAAATTAATTTTTAAAGCTTTAAAAACTTTAGCAATTCTTTAAATTCAAATTTTATAAATTTCTTTTCATTTTTTATTGCAATTATTTTTATAGACTCAAGCATCCACTTTAGCAGCAATTCAACAAGCATTCTTATCACCAACCACTAGTAATAATTTAGCCACAATTAATCAACAAATAAATAATTTAGGTTTTCAATTGAGTGGCTTAAATCAACAAAAACAAAATTTACAAAATTTTGAAAATTTAAATGCACAACAACAACAGCAACAACAGCAATCACCACAAGCACAACAGCAACAACAACAAATTGGTTCAAATGCATTAACACCAACACAAACTCAATTTCCAACATTAGGTCAAATACAAAATATTAGTAATAAATTAAATGACATATCAACACAAGCAAATCAACAGCAACAACAGCAACTTCTTGGTACTACATTACAACAAAAAGATCTATTTCAAATGAATCATGATTTATTAAATCGTTTACAATTATTAAATTTAGATAATAATACAGCTGCTGCAGCTGCATTTGCTGCTGCTGCTACAATACAACAACAAAATTTCAATAATAATAATAATAATAGTTCACCACATAATTCATATTTATTTGCAAATCCATTAGCAACTACAGCTACAACACCACAAAATAATAATAATAATCAAGGAAATTTTAATTTTTTAAATTGTCCATCAATAAATAGTTTAGGTGGTAATTTAACACCATCACCAATTGGAACATTATCAAGAAATTCATATTCAAATAGTCCACTAGATAATAATGATATTGGATTGAGTTTAGATAAAAATTTAAATATACTTGATGATACACATTTTATAAAACCATTATCACAAGTTGGTACACTAACAACATTAGATTCTGATGGTAAAGTTAAAGTAATTGTACCAATATCAAATGGAGGTGGTGGTGGTGGTGGTGGTTGTATTAGTGTTGGTCCTGGAAATAATACAAATGCAACTGGTAGTAATGAAAGTTGTAGTAGATCTGATTCATCATCTTCACCAAATATAAGAAGAAGTCTTGGTAGCATTAGTGGCGGTGGTAGTAGCAGTGGTGGTGGTGGTTGTAGTAATATTGCTATAAATATATGTGGTAATAATAATGATCAAAGACTTAGTATGCCAAATAGTAATAATAATAGTACAGTTATGTTAAAAGTAACAGATGAGGCTGGTAATATAATGAATCCGAAACAACGTTTGTCAGCGACACCTAGTTTTATACAAAGGAGTACTAGTGAGAAAGTACCAAATCGTAGCCAAATGATGAATCAAGTTCAAAGAGCTGGCTGGCAAAGACATACAACTAAATAATAATAATAATAATAATAATGATGAATGAATAATCATAATTATTTTTAATTTTTTTTTTTTACGTAAAATATATATATATACATATTTTATATATATCAACACACACATGCACATTTATTTAGGTTTTTACATAAATTTTTTTTTATTATTTTTACATCCTTTAATTACGTAAATTTCTACATAATAAAATAGGAAATTGCATAAAATTTTATTATATAAATTTTATTTTTAGGTTATAAAAAAAATTATTTAAATATAAGAGTTGGGTTTTATAATCATTTTTTAATCGTTATTATTTTGTATTTTTTTCATTTTGTTTTGTTTCTTGCCATCTTTATTTATTGGGAGTATTATTAGTAAATTAAGTTTAAGGATGATTTCTTTTTGCAATTTTGATTGAAATTTCAATTAAAAAATTATTTTTATTTATTTTTACTATTTATATTAATTATATAAATTATATTATAAAAAATTTACTTAATATACACTTAAATAGGATTAAGGTAATAATTTGAAAAGTTTTGTTTTTGATTAAAATAGAATAATTATTGTTAAGGTATATAAATTGTTATTTATAAAAATATTCAAAAATCAAATTTGTTTACCCAAAAAAAAAAAAAAACAATTGTAGTTTTTTTTACTAAAAAATTTTAGGGAAAGCCTAAACCGCACGAATCTTCAATTGAATTTATGAAAAATTTGTAAATTAGTGGAACGTATGTAGATTTAATGAAAGCTCATTAATTTTGTAATTAACTTAAAAACTTACTTGTCTGGCAACCTAGATATAATTTGAATTTTTAATTTACTAAGGTTCAACAATAATTTCGACCCATTCTTTGATTAATTTTAAGCATTTGTCGTAATATCCATGAATTCAATAAATTTTCTTCATATTTTGTAATTCAAATTCGGTAATAAATTATAAACTCGAAATAAACCAAACCTTTGCAAAGTTGCTCATTTCCCTGAAATATTTTAAGGCAAAAATGTTTTGGCAGAAATCTTTTATTCGTACAGTCTTAACTCGTATCTCGTACAGTCAAACACGCCCAATACCAAACCTCTTTCATATACCACAATTCGGTTAAATTCACAATAATATTTTTGACGAGAAAAATCTTCATAATACTTTTTTACAAACACATATTTGAATTCGGTAATAGATTTTACTCTCTTAAAATCACGTAAATCTCGACATCAGAATGTCCTAGTTTCGCTCAATTTCGCTCATTTAAATTACTTAAATGAAAATTTGGAAAAAAAAAATTACAAAAAAAAATAAAGAGGAATAATTTTTACTTTTTTTTAAACAAAAAGTGTAATTCTTTTTCTTTACGACATTTACTGTTGGCAATTTCTTATTTACGACATTTACAGTTAGAGCATTTTTTTCGAATATACCCGTTGAAATAGCTGTTAATTACGATTTATATTTGTCATTGTTCGAGATTTCTATTGAAACTATCTATGCCCCGATATTTCTAAATTATTTTCGTTTATTTCAACCTCGCCCATTCAAATTGCGTAAATTTATTCCAGCATCGCTTAAATTCCCAATTCCCTTAAAATCACAAATTATTGGTCGTTTTTTTCATGTGATATTAAGCGTATTCGATTGTACCGCATAATTTTGTAATTTCATCAATTGCATACTTTTAGGGGAAAATATAAAAAATTAGGATGTTATTCACTTTCATTGAAATTTAATAAGGCTTTCAAAAGAAACAAATTTCTAAAAATATAAATTTTTAGAGATATTAACCTAAATATAAAAATTTTGGTTTTCGTGAACATAACTATGAAGTATGTAATTATTAATTATGCAACACCGATTAGAATTTCAGGTTTCTGTGATTTGAAAGTAAAGAAAAAAGTTCTGCCCAAAGTAGAGTAAAATACATAACGGTATATCTAAATAACCGTCTTATAATACTGGTATTTATATCTATGTTACAGTAAGAAATTTCTGTTAATTTTCTTGAAAATTTTCCAATATTTTCCGTCAAAAATCTGGACTATATTTTACTTGCACTCGTATTTCTTGCAAGAATTTTTCCAAAATTTTATTTTGTATTCAAAACACAAAAATATTCAAAAAATCTATCATTTTTCAATGTTTCTCTATATATTCCTCTATAATAAATGCACAATTTCTTATATTAATGACACGGTTTAAAAGACCGGCGATGAAATTAATTTAAAATTTCAAATCCTCAAGGTTTTACAAATTGCCAGTAATAATTTTTTTGTGTTAAAAATTTTGCCTATACTCGTATACACCTTTAAAATTAATTTTATCCTTTTAATATTTTGTCCCGTGGTATTTTACTTTAAAATTTTATACCTTGTTTTTTCGACGATAAGGTGAGAATTATTTGTGTAAAGCAATCAAATATTTAAATTTTAATACATAATTAATCACTTTGAGTAAAACAATTTATTTTCGTTAAATAGAGCAGTAAAATGATGAATTTTCCTAATAAAATCAAAATACATACTTTTATAAAAAAAAATTTTCATCCTTTCAATAAAAATTTTTCTAATTTTCTTCAGTTTTAATTGAATTTATAATTGAAAAAATTATCATCAGAAATACTTGAAATTTTTCGTTTGCTTTTAAATCTTATTACAAAAACAAAATTTGGAAGAAAATTAATGATGGAAATTTATTTTTAGATTTAACAAAATTTGTTTTTAGATTAAAGGAAATATTTGTAATTTTGAAAATTTGGTAAATTTTTTTCTCATTTTAATTAATTTAGAAAATTCTCTGTAATTTTTTTTAGTTAAAATGAGATGGACGAGATTCATAAGAATTAACAGGGATTTTTTTTACTTTAGAAAATATTTTTAAATCATTATTCAAAATTGAAATATTTCTTTGATTAAAAAAGTTTAGAAACCCAATAATTAAAGATTTCCATAAATATTGGAATCTAATTTAAGAAATTTTAATTATTTTTAATTTACAAGAACCCCTTTGATATGTATATTTAGAAATAATAATGAATAAACTGATTTATTCGAAGTCATAAACTTAATCTGGTAAAGTAAGTTTTTAAACGAACAAATTTCCATTAAATTTGTATAAAAAAAAATATACAGGCCAATACGAATTAATTAGAAAAATTAAATTTTTTCTAATTCTCATTCAATCTGATCTGTTTCTAAAATTGTAAAACAAACTCAAAAGTTTTTCAATGATTTTAATTGTTGTAAAAGCCTTTATGAAGTTTATTTTAAAAAAAACAGTCGAAATTTCATCAACTTTCTCTTTCAAAATGAAAAAAAAGATTCAAAAACCAGTATGAGTGTATATTTTTTGTGACAATTACATTTACATATATACTTTAATAATATTGTGTGCTCTTATGTCCTCTTGATCCGAATACATACATTTATGGTAAAAAAACTTTCTTCAGTCAAACAATTTTTGAGAAAAGTTTTTCTTAATCAAATTCAGTAAATTGAAAACAACACACAAAACATAAGTTAATATTTTTTTTTTTTATAATTTTTTCAATGTACATTCAGAAAACAAATACGAAGCTTAACAAAAAAATAAAAATTAACAAAATTGTAAACTTTTTAGCACATTTGTAAAAAAATTGAGTAAAAATGTGCTTATAATAAGGTTAATTCTGTTCTTCTCTGCCAATTTTTTATGCACTCTAAAATAGAAAACTGAAATTTTATGCACAAATGGAAATTCTTTGTGAGAATGAAATTTTTCTTCAAGATAATTTGTACCTAAATCCCCTCGTGTAAAAGTGCATGTTGGAAAGCACGTGTCAGGTTTGGGTCCCTTATCAGAGCAAATTTCTCCTTTACGCATTGCATGGTTTAAGTTCATTTGGTCCTCTTAGGTTGCCCCCGTATGAAGATAGACTATTATTTATTCATCAACTTTTTTCGCGGAATGCTTTTTCGCCTATTTTGTTCGAGCATAGGGAATTTGAGAGATCAAGGGATCAAGATACAGATTATGATACGAATGAGACATTGACTAGGATGTTTCGTGCTGTCAATTGTAAATCCTTCTGTTTTGATCTTGGTGTTATTAAGGTTGCTCTGAGGTCTGTTCTTTGTAGGAATTTGGAATTGGACTAGGAATTATATAGCAGTGGTCTTGTGGCTTAATTCTTTTTTTTTTGTTTTACCTAATTTTTGTTTTTCTTTTCAAACTTAATCAAATAAAAATTATTGTGTCTCTCATACTAATAAACTTTACTCTTGCTAACTTTTCACTATTTCCTTTTTCTATCTCATCATATAATGAAGATTTTGCTAAGCAATCTGATAGTCGCACTTTTGTGAGTCCAAATGATGATTGTTTTGGCTCTTTTATGCAATATTAATTTACATGTCGAATGAATTTAATTTTACTCACCTAATTAGCCGCCGAATTTCACCATTACTGCTTCTCTTTATTGTTCTTGTTTTTATCCTAAAAGTATGCAATTTTTTAAATAGTTTTAATCGCAATATTTTATTAATTGAAATATTTTAAATTTAATTTTGAATTTAAATTTGAATTTTAATAATTGAAATATTTAAAATTATTTTTAAGAAAAATTTCCTCAATTCTTCAAAGGAAATGTGCTATTTTAAAAACCATGGTATTGATTCAAATTTATTTTTTTTTTTTGAGGTTTGATTTTTTTCAATGAAATTCACAATCTATACCAAGTTTTTATTGTTTTTGACTGATTAAATTTTAACATTTTATGTGGCAAAACCATAAGATCTTTATCAAAAATTTTTTTTTGAAAAAATTCTAAACTAAAAATAAAATTTTTTTTTTTAAATATAAAGTGGGTGAAGTAGAAAAGAAAGATTTTTTAAAAAACTTTTTCTTTCGAATGCAAATTTTTTTTCAAAACCTCTTCAATCCTGCAACTCATAAATCTAAAGGAAAATTTTTTAAAGTAAAAATTTTAAGCAAAATACGAAAAATGAGTATTTCAACTCGCTTTAAATCCTTTTGCTTTTTATGAAATTGTATGCGTGCAAATCATGGATAACAAAAACTAAGAAGGCAAAAAAATTTGATTATTTTGAAAAGAAAGTTTATTTATTTTTTTTTTTCGTTCAGAGTTCATTGTTTTGGATTACAAAGTGTATTAAATTATATTTTCCCATAGCTTTTATTAGATTTTTTTTTTATTCTGAAATTCGGTTATAACCTCCATCTTATATTTTTACTTGATTTTCTCACCCTCTTTCATTTGATCTTT